ATCTATTTAACACACCTAAACACACTTGCAATTGCATCCTTTAGAGCACTTTCTTTCCCTCACTTTTTTTTTATTTAAAGAGAGAAGAAAAAAAAGGACATAAAAAAAAACAATGCAGTAAAAGGGTACAAATAATACAGTATTTCTAGAAAAAATATATATACAGTACGAAATCACCAGTTAACAGGCTACACATTATCTTCCAGAAACAGTTGTCCATATCACTAAATTAAAGCATATAAAGTGAACATTCATACAGTAGAATTGGAGACAGTTCCATTCAATGATCCAACAAGAGCTCAGTTACATGGTTTTCCGTTCTACACTCTTGAACATACCTGCGGTTATATCCCTTAGTCCACCTTACTATCCTCTCTTTTTACAGTAACAATTAGACTTTTAGGGTTTATTACTCTCACGGTTCTTATTACTTTTTTGAAGAGAATAAAAACAAATGTCACTAAGCAAAACAGAGTCAGTTAGAACAGAAGGGTGGGCATAGCACGTGATGCAAAAATAGAATACCAGGTGATCAAAAGTGGTTACCATTGTGCCTCTTGCTATTTTCAAATTGAGTTGTCTGTATCATCAAGTATAATAGAATTGATCAAAACAATATGGAACAATACCAATAAAATCACTGAGGACGTTACAGGACTTCAAAAAAAAGGATGATAGTCAATCCATATTGGGCATCATAGTATATCTTATTGCCTTCAAAGTGATTGCCTATACCTTCAAACTTGATACTATCAAACAAAATAGAATATATAATAATCAGACAGAACAAGATGGGGAGAGCAATACTGGGGTTCAAGTCAGGTTGATAGGACAACAAAAAAGTTACTATAGTATGCCCCATTATTCTTTAGTTTTCCCTTAATTAAAAAAATGAGAGAAAATAGATTAATTTAAAAATAAGAGGAAGATTAAGATAAGAGAGGATATTGTAATAGAACAATGCAGGGCAGAACCGAGCAATTCAAGCATCATTGTGTTTTACCACCAGGTAATCTAACATAGTCACCACAGTGCCTCTTAAATTATTTGAGTGTCACTTCGCATGCTATAATATTAAGCATATCTAGACAGTGTGAAGCCTTTCAAGAGAATGCAATAATTACAGGGTATTTAGAACCTGCTAATGGAAAACAAACAATGGTTTCTATATTATCTCTTTGCCTATAAAGAGTTTTGTTTATACTATAGCTTACAGTGAAATATAGTTAGATACAACATGTTAAAACCAGTGGAAACAGATGTACTACAGCTTGATGGGACTTTAAAACAAGACAATATTAAATCAGCACTAGCTTTTATGTTGTGTTGCTTTCTTCAAAATAGCTATTCGTGCTATCATATATACTAAAATCGAACACCCCAGGTTAAAACATTGCGGTTAATGAGTGAAAACATTATATGGCTTCAAACCAATATGATTGGGAGTCATGATTACCACATACTTCTATGTATTCTTATCATTTCTTACACTAGGGAAACTATTCGGTATTTATACATGTGAGTTTGATTTATTTCACTTATGAGTATGGTCTCAAGCTGCATCCATTTATTTATAAATGTCTCAATGCGGTCATTTTTTATAGCTGAGTAGTACTCCATTGGAGACATTGATTTTCATAAAGCCAATAGCTGAGGAATATTTTTAGAAAGAACTCTAAAACACCAAATCGTGTATGGAATTAAATGTTATGAGCCAAGGTTAGCTTTCTAAAGTATATGAATTCTGTCTTGGTTACTTTGCTGAGATAAAAAAACCTGATGCCCACAATGCAGGAAGGAAAGGTTTATTTAGCTCACTGTTTGTGGAGGTTTCAGTCCATAATCAGCTGGCTCCAAGGCAGGGTGATGTGCAGAGGGCAACAGGTCATGGTGGCACAGGACAGCAAAAGCAACAAGAATGAAAGAGAGGTGTGTGGAGAAAGGACTCTTTCTAGCCCTTATTAGAGTATGTAGGTCACACCCACCCTGCAGTGGGTATTGCACTTACACTAATATCTCCAGCTTTGGACCATGAATCAATCACAAATTCTTGATACCTGCCTCCAGACTGCACAGGGATTTTGGAAGACACCTAGGCATAGACAATAACAATCTCCTTTTTGTTACTTTAGCTTATTAGTACGTACGTGTAGTACATAATGTTTACATTTCTTGGGGGATTGTACCTCTACATAACACATCTTAATTGCTTGTTTAAAAAAAAAAAGATGCCTTCTTAATCAGAATTGTTCTCTTCATTTACTTTTATAATAAATAAACCAAACCAAAAATCACAACTTCCATGATCTGGGGCATCCACCATGAGGAACAAAAACAGACTCAGGCCTTCCCATGTGCCAGCTTGTGTGCGGGCTGGGAGACAAAAAAAGCAACCTTTTCTACCCCTTAAGCAATGGGCTGATTCAGAAGAAGTCAGGTTGAGATGATAGCAACTGAAGCAAAAATAATAATAATAATAATGCCTGTGTTGTTTGATAGACTTTGCAGGCTTACAGCTGGTAGATCAAGTATATATTTGGAAGATAACAATATGCATTATAGCAACTGTGGGGGATTTCATTTGTCTCGTTTTTGAAATCTAATTTTTTGTTCTGTTTTACTGTTTTGTTTTATTTATGAATCTGGCACCCTGAGTAACTATTTTGAAGATAACAGTATGCAATATAACAACCATTATTAAATTACTATCATCTTGTTTTACTCTTAAATTACATCTATGTAACTATTGTTGTTCTTTGTTCTTCTTGTTCTCATGTGTTTTTTGTTGATGTTGATTTGTTTGCTTCTTGATTTTCTGGTTATTTCTTTTTTCCCTTTAAAATGAATAACAATCATAAATATATCAAAATATTCTGGTTATTTCTTTTTCCCTTTAAAATGAATAACAATCATAAATATACCAAAATATTCCTGGTACTATGAACATGAAAAACAAGCCAAGAACACTACATTTTTTTTTTTACCTGTGAATCAATACTACTAACGATTGCAATATATATTCTAAGACTGTACACTAAAACATAAAGCTGGTTAGACCACTTCCAGTTTGTGAGTAGGGCAGGTTTTAAAAACAATTAATGGTTATCTGCACATCAGAATCAGCAGTCTTTTATGTTTTCTTAAGTCTGACATTTGCACCTGTGATTTCATTATCACAGGACAATATTTTCTTCAGTATACCCTAATTATTGTATATATACAAGGACAGCAGCTTAAGATTTTAATAGCCTACGCTTCTTAGATTTAAGCTCTTATTTTTTTCCAGATGGGAGCCTGGGCAAATCTTCAGAATTTCTTCATTAATCCCAGAGGAGGCCCTGACAAGACATTTGTAACTTTTGCTTGGACAATTGTGAGTGTGTTCCTAAGAGAAAGCTGGTCTGTGGTTCAGGTTACAAGAGTTGACCTCCCAGAACTGTGACTTACTGAGCTCATTTCTCAGCAATGCATAGATGTGTTCTTTTGGTCCAGTTCTCAATTACAGCGATCAACCTCGAAAGGCCTGACCTTCCAAGTACTGGAGGAAAATAAAGTTTGCAAACTCTAATTCTGTAGAGGGAAACCTCCCCAGAGAAAACACATCCATCCTCAACCATCAGCTCCACTTACTTACGCATCATTAAAAACATTTGCATAGAAATCAATTGTCATGGGTTGTTTACAAACTTAATCCATCATCGGTATCTGTTTCTAATTCTTGACAATATGGTGATCTCTAGCCACCTCGGGGCTGTTGCAATTTCAACCCATAGTTAAGCCCCTATCCATCCTGGTCCACACCACTGTGGCCTCATTTAGAACATGTCACAACGAGTTTACCCTTTAATCATTCTTCCCCTTTGGGTTACTAGGACGTCCCTTAATCAGCTTCTGACTTAATAGCCAGATCTGTCTCCTTCTACTGGTGGTGAACAAGAGACAGAATACCAGTCGTGTTCATAACTACAGCTATTGGCCCTCAGGGAATGGAACCCTACTCTGTTAATGAAATTATTGGGGCTTCCTGGTGTGAGTCATTCTCTGGAAATCTCTTTATTCACAGAGGCATTCTGAATTTTCATCTGAAACTTTTACAGCTGTTAATGCAATGCTTCCAATAAAGATAAGTTTTATAACAATATTAGCATTCTGTGTTTCTGTTTGAGAGGAAAATGAACAGCCCAGTGCTTTGAACCAGATGGAGAATCAATTTGAAGTAAATCATATTCACCTAACTAATGGTCATATGGTGAAATTAGTTATTAGGAGCTGTCAATTTGCATTTATTTATTAGTCCCAGTGATAGAAAGCAAGCTTAGCTAATTTAAAGAAAGATACCAAAACGGATTCAAAAAGTAGGGCTTCCAGCAGGTCAGAAAGAATTAAGGTTGAGACCCAAGAAGCACACAATCATCTCCAAGATTTAGGAATATAGGATTGAACATCTACCTTGTCTGGGCACAGATCTTTGAGTTCTATTTTTGTCACTGAAAACGAGAAGCCAATTGCTCAGCCTTAAGTTACATGGTGTCTTCTTTCTATACACATATTCAGAATTACCTGGTACCTAAGATGCTGCACCAATTCCATCTCCAACAGTATTGCATTATTTCTCTCCAAAGTGACACAACCCATAGTCCTCACCTGGCCTTGGGTACTAGATATCTTAGGGATGCACGTCTCCTCTCTGTGGTCCTGGGCTTCATGTCGGTATTGACCCATTGAAGGGGTGATTAACCATGACAGCCAGTTGCCTCAGATGGCAAGAACAGGGAAATAAGACATTTAATTTTAAAATGTAAGTATACAAGGTAGAGAAAAGGCAGAAAATACAGATGAAACCAATGGACATCATGTTGATATTTTGCTATGCAATTCAAATCCCTTGTTATAGAGAGCACTTCTATCTTTGAGAGCTTTTTAAGTGGTAGAATGAAACCTGTACCAGCACTTAATGCTTTCAGGACTGCCTTGATAAGATTAAGACCTTTCATTAACAGGCCGTCACCCATGATGTGAAAAGTGTATCTGATCAAGAACTGCATAGTGATTGGACGATCATTAAGGAATTAACACAGAGCGACTACTTGGTAAAAATTATGTTAAGCATCAGTAAAGTGTTTATAGTACTTACCTAAAATTATGATTCCTTTTTTGACTTTTATTTTAATGCATCTTTAGTACTATTTTATGTTTTGAAAATTTACTTGTATGCATTGCAGTGTAGAAACTTTACTTTTCTCCGTACGGAAATTCTGCAAATTATTTTCCAAGGAATATCTTAGTTCTAAATACTATCTCACCTTCTAATACTATGATCCCTTTGCCTTGCCCAACAGCACTTAAAAGTAGATTTGTTGCTCTGTGTTGGAGGTTTCCCAGAGAGTCACTGGTGGGAGAAATATAATGTAATTTTTAGATGGTAAGTATATTTACAGCATTAATAAAATAATTAGTGGTCATAAATATAATTCAGTGGACAGAATGCACAAGTATCTGTGCCACGCTTGTGGTGATTATTTTTCTTATGCTTTGCAGCTCAGGAAAGAAGAATGAGGAGCTAAAGCCTGCAGAAAATAATAACAGAAGCCATAATCCTAAGGATTTATATGTGATTACCACAAAGATTGATCTAGAAAGAACAAAAGCAATTACCTATTTATTACTGCAAAGATGTGCCAAGCAGAAAAAAGGAGAATACTTGTGCTCTGCAAGGATCATAAAGCAGCAGAGTACTGATTCATGGGTGCAGGACTCGGGCTGGCCAACATGACCTTCCCAAAGCGCTCTCTCGGGATACCTAGAATGCTGCATTTTTAAATTTATTGCACAACATTTTTTTTTGTTTTGTTTTACAGCCACGTTTACAGTGTACTGATTTACTGGTAAACAGATACATGCATTCCAGGGCAGAATGCTGCTTATACGTATGTGACAGCAAACTTAAAATTAATAAAAAGAATTGTTGGGGAAACTTGGGCACAATGTTGAGGTGATAAATTAAGGCAATTATTTTTCTTTTGACAAGTGTTTATAAGACCCAGATTGTGTTGTACTGCAGAAAATGAATGTGGCCATTTGTTGTAAATAAAGAATTCTCCTGTTGATAGTCTCTCGACAGGTACTCAAGATAAAATCTAGTTGAGCATTATAACCATTAACAGTATTTTGTACCTGGAAGGAAAGAAACTCTGGTTTGAAATATTCATTCAGTACTTGAGTTACAGTTTTATTTTGTGTCATCATGTATTTTATCTGCATCATTAAATGCTTTAAGCTTTAACCCTTACTTACAATGTCCTAGCAGATAAGAATGCCTGACATGTAATAGGCAATGTTCCCAAAGCTAGAATTCCCACAATTTAAAGGATAAGTAGTTCAATTAGGCTTACAGTTCCAGGAGGTTCAGTCCATGGTTGACTGGATCCAACGTAGAAACATAATGGCAGAAAGGCATGATGCACCAAAGATCTCATTGCATAGGATTGGGAGCTAAAGCATGGGAACACTACCAGAGAAAAAAGAGCCAGGGAACAGATACAGCATCCAAGGTCACACCTCCATGACCCATGGAGACACAACCAGAAATGTGCCTTATTAATTACCTGGAAAACTCCCAAGCCTATCTAGTTGATACTAGTAAGCTTAGCAATCAAACCGGTAATGTAATTTACTTAGTGAAACCACAAATAGGATAGGAGGCCCTTAGAGAGAGAAAAGGGGGTCTACGGCCATACCACCCTGAATGCGCCTGATCTCGTCTGATCTTGGAAGCTAAGCAGGGTTGGGCCTGGTTAGTACTTGGATGGGAGAGAGAGAAGGGGGGATTATTTGACAAAAGCTCTTATTTATTCTTTGATTCTTTTCCCAAGCCATTTTTATCACGCTACTCATAGCCAGCTAGTGTTTTTGTAACATCTGTATGGTTTAATGTGAGTCTGTCTTGGAAGATCTTCACTTAAAAAATGTCATTTGTAGAAACATCTATTTGTAAAAATAGATGCATGAACATTACCATAAATCAAAATATCTTGAGGTTTTTGTCATTCCTCACATTTGGTACTGGAGAATGCTTTGTCAGAGAGGTCCTATACATTATGGACTATGTGATATCATCTCTGGCCTTTACCAAAAGGACAATATTAACATCATTCTCACACAGTTATGGCAACCAAAAAATGTACCTAGACATTCTCAAGTGTTCTGAAAGTGTTACTTGAATTTAAACATAAATCTAGACATGCTAGTGCCTAATTTAATGGGGTAGGAAGAGACAGGAAGAAGAAGGAGGATCATAAAGAGAAGGAGATGGACAAAGAGGAAGATGAGGAAGATTGAAATGTTTCCTCTTTTCACTCCTCCATTATTTAAAGCATTTCCTATTTTTTTGTTATTCTTATTCTCAATAAAAGATTTAATCCATAGCTTTTCCTGCAATCTCATGGCAGACAAGAACTTAACCTGTGTTACTCAATTTTCCCCTAGCTAGAACACAAAATTTAAAAGTATAGGAATTTAATCTGGCTCATGGTTCAGGAGGTTCAGTCCATGGTCAGCTGGCTTGAAGGGTGAAAGATCATGGCAGCAGACATGGCTGGGCAAACATGTTCAGTTCACTGGATCAGGAGTTAGAGTAAAGGGATAGTACCAGAGGGAAAGAATCCTGAATCTTTTTATTCTTATTCTTTGCTTAATTACTTTGCACTGGGAATTTGTTCTCCATTATTTTTGTAACTCTCGTGTCATAGAAGGTAGATTGTTTATTCCCTCTTTTATATCAGAGGAGGTTAAAATCCAGGCAGGATTAGAGTTAGAGGTTGCACAGTCTTAGAGAATAATGTGTGTTTCTATCAACTGAGCATTTGTTAAAACTTGGTACTATATTTGTTATGGTTTGAGAACCGGTGGTCAACTTAACGCCAGCTGGATTACATCAGCATGCATTGAGAGAAGATGCTCCACCTGAGGAGGGTTGCCAGGATAAATAGGTGGAAAAGAAGGGAGGTGTTGAGGGTTGAGGTGTTAAGGACGCATTGTGGGTTCTCTTACGAGTTGCTGTCTGAGCTGTTGGTTCTCCTGGAGAAGCTCTGGTCCTCACATCGAGCATTGCTTCCTGGCTCCGGAGGGAAGACATGTGCTGCCTGGTCTCCAGGATGAACTCGTCACACTGCTTCCTGGCACGTACCCAACTGTGCTTGTCATGGGAGGAGCTCGGGGCCTCCGTGTCACTGAGGACGGCTGTGGTGCCTTTCAGGACAGCCCTGTTCTTTGTTGTGAGTTTGACTTCTCGGCTCCAGCGTAGAACCCTCATCCCACTAGCACAGCTCCTTCATCCTGCTGGCATAGATTTTCTGGCTTCCACCACTGACTCTTGGGTCTTCCCGGCACGGATCTGTAAAAGAGATTGGGTGAGCCCTTCTTGTGGGCTCTGGACTTCCAGTTGGACTCGTGGAGGCTTTATCCTAAGCTCTGGGTTTTTATCTGGACTCACGTGGGACACTGCCGTGGGGTTTAGACTCTTGACTAAATAATCTGTCGTTGGTCTTGCGGATAGATTTCCTGCATTCTCCTGTGTTAACTTCCGGTGACCATTATAAAAATATTATAAACTCCATGTCCTGATCTGAATTGTTCTCTGTGTACAACCCCTGACTACAACAATATTCATAAGTGAAATAAATAAATAAAACTCACAAGTATAAATACCATATAGTTTCCCTAGTATAAGAAATGGTAAGAGTACATAAGATTTTTTGGTAATCTTGGTTCCCCATTACATTGCGTTGAAGCCTTATAATATTTTCATCCAATGGTTGGAATGGTTTTATTCTGTTTTGTTTGATTTTATTATGTGTGATGGTATGAACAGCTGCTTTGAAGAAAACAAGACATTGTGGTAGCCATTGCTGATTTAATATCATCCCGCTTTGAAGTCCTGCCATGCTTTTGTTCTTCTGTTTTTGTTGATTCTACCATGTTGTGTCTTATTGGATTTTAATATGTGTGATAGTATAAACAAATATTTTAAGGGAAATAAGATATTACAGTAGCCATTGTTCATTATCAGTTATTTGGTTTTGAATGTCTTGTAATACCTTTATTCTCTTGAATGGTTTTATACTATTTTGCTATGTTTGATACTATTGTATATGGAGATGTGCTCAACTATTTCAAAGAAAGTCACATTATGGTAGCTACTGTTAATATCTGGTTGTCTTGTGAAGTGTTGTGTTGCTTGCGTTGTTTTGTTCTGATTTGCTTTGTTCTGTTGTCTTTTGTTTTATTCTGTTTAAAATTCAGATTCTGGTTCTGATTCAACAGAGTCCTGAAGTAGACCCTGAGATTCTATGGTTTTCAGAAGCTCATAAATAATACTGAAGTGATGGATCGTGGAACTAGTTTGAGGTGTAAGGAAGGAAACCCTCGGTTCTTACAGGTAGCCAATTGCTGTGCCATGATTGAAGCCCAGCACTGTTTCCCAAAAGGCACCTTTTACCTCTTCCTTACTGCTATGTGTCCATGCATTAGGCAGCCCTGTTAGTTCTTCCTCAAGCAAAACACATTCTGGTATATTATCTCCATCTTCTTCTCCACCAATTGTACTGCAAATCTAGTAAAGAATTGGATAAGTGTGGTCCAATAAGCTAATATAGACTGGAATACAAGTCAGCCATTTCACTTTGCATCCATGCATCCATGCTTCCATCCATCCATCTGTCCCCCAGTCCACCCACACATCCATCTGTCTTTCCACTCATCTATTCATCTGTAGGCCTTCATTGACATTTCTTGTAGTAGCTAGACAATAGTCTAGAGGGTTGGTTTCAAAGATGAAAGGAAAGCAGTCCTTTTCCTTTGAACATTTTGTGTACTTGGGGATATCACTGCATAAGCAGACTGCTTCTGTAGCTGCTTAGTATCAATGGATGCATCACTGACTGCTGAACAGAGAAGTTATTAGATCATAGAGAAACAGAAATGAAAATATAATGCCTAGCTGGATGTAGTGGTGCATTCTTGTAATACCAGCACACTCAGAGCCTGAGAAGAAAGATCAAATTTAAACTTAATCTGGACAACTTTATGTCTCAGCGAGATTATGTCTCAAAATAAACAACAAAAAAAGGGGGTCAAAATGTATCTCATTGAAAAGTCTCCAGATTCTACCTCTAATACTTCAAAGGAAAATAGAATTACTTAGGTTATGTCAGCATTGACTGAGCATAAGTTTTTGCCCCTTGTCTCTATAATAAACATCCACCCAAGTCTTATCCTGTAAATTTCTGTGACCACCGCAACACAGAGGAACCATTTCTAGATCGCTTCCTTGTGCTTTCAATGTTCCTTCTACTTCTGGCTGACAAAGCAGAGGCCATTATGGCTCACAGCTGAACAAGATCCATGGCCAACAATGGAAAAAAATAGAAGGCTTCATTTTGAGAAGATCAATCACCATAAAATCATCTATTGATAGCCTATATGGCTTTTCTCATACCTATACTACTGTATCAGTGACTGCTATGAGATAGTAAGCCCTTAGAAAAGATGGCAGGTAGAGGCTCCCAGAACTGAAAAACTGTTTCAGATAAACATGGATCAGTAAAGTTGACCATCTCCAAGTTATTGAATATTTATGAGATAGCAGAGGTGGTCTAGAAGGCACCCAGGGCGACCTCATAGTTACAGGATTAATCATATCCAAGGGGCTGAACTCTGATGCTAAATTATTTGGGACCTCATTCCATCTAGCATGTCTCCCACATATTTTAAGCATCACTATTTCTCTTGATACAAACTTATATATGTTTACTGCTTAGTTCATTTTGTGTTCTGCAAGCAAATTCTTTCATATTCCTTTGCAAAACCTTCCCTGAAGTCCTTCCCATCAAGTTATGTTTATTTACAGATAATACAGTTACGTTTATTTACAGATAATGTTCTACACTCATCCTATATCCTTTTAAGAATATGATGTTAAATATCTTTTCATTTGCTAATGATTTTGAATATATATAGATATATATTTGAAAAACTGTTGCAACATTTTTTCCATTAGCTTGGTTGTGTTACACAATTTTTCTAACTGTAGATTTGTTTATTCATGTATATATATATATATATATATATATATATATATATATATTAAACAAGAAAAAAGCCTGTATTCTCTATTAGAGCATTCACAGGATTGTACTTCTCTTATCCTCCTGTTTTATTGGTCTTGTTCTGTACTGTTTCGTTCAATTTTATTGTACCTAATGATATAGGCAACTCTTTTTAAGGTAGCAAGAGACATTATGGTAACCATTGTTGATCACCTTATAGTCTGTTTTTACATAATGTAGTATGTCCATCCTTTGTTTTGACTGACTGCTTCGTTTTACTACATTTGGTTTTATTCTCTTCCAAAAAAAGTAATAAGAACTATGGGAGTAATAAACCCAAAATCTGTAAATGTTAAAAAAGTGAGGAAAAGAAAGTGCTCTAAAGGACACAACTGCAAGTGTGTTTAGGCGTGTTAAGATAGATGACCATATTAATGTTTTTGTTGGATCACTGAACACAACTGTTTGCAGTCTCACTGTTTGAATGTCCACTTTGTATGCTTTAATCCTGTAACTTGAACAACTATTTCTAAGATGACAATATGTAATCTATTAACTAGTGATATCTTACTGTTTATTT